TACAAAAATGTACGGAATATTCATTAAAAAATTATACTCGTTCTGACGCAAAGTTCCCTCAAAAATGATGGTCTGAATTTAAGCCTAGTACAATAAGAACTAAAAATGCATGTGAATCTTTTTTTTCGCACTTCAATTCTCTTTTATTCTGCTCAACCAAATATATTTCAATTTATACACATTTAAAAAAATATTCAAATCGACGTTTAAATTAAAATGAAAAATCCAGAGGGAAGAAGAAGAAACTGTATAATATCTAAGGAAGATTTCGTAAAGGAAAAAAATTAATTACAACAAATTTGTTAAATCTGTATGTTATAAATTTCAACCCAGTTATTAACTTTTTAACTATAAACAATTATTGTTGACGATTGTATATCATGAAAATAGTAAACATTAGAAAAAAAAATATTTTAATTGTATGTAATGTATTTAATGTAACTAGGTGTTATTAGACATTCCTAAGTCTGTAAAAATGGGAAGGAAAATATTTTTTTCTGGGACCCAACTAGTACAATAGGCTTTTTAGCATGGGACCTAACTAGTACAATAGGCTTTTTTACCACAATTGGAATCTGAGACCCAACAAGTATGTACCAAATGAATGTATACATTAGAAAAATAATATAAAATAATACATATTTTTAAAAACTTATAACTAGGGCTCGGGACTATATGCACTTAAAATCCACAAAAAAACAAAGAAAATACACTTAAAAAAAAAACAAATAAAAATTCTAACTTAAAAAATACAATTTTCGAACACTACAAAAATGATGAACATAAGTTTTTTAAATAAAATTGTAAATATTATATAAAAAAAATTTTGTCAATCCTTTTGTAGTATTAAAAAATTGCATTTAATGGTTAGAGCCATTATGGGAGGAGGGGTGCATTATAACATATCAATTAATTATTAAAATTTAAAAAAAATTGATAATTAATAATAAACTAAGAAACTGTCTATACCAAAAAATTATAAATTTTGAATTTTTCTTTTAACAATTTATGTATTGGATATTTTTCTCTGTTAGACCATTATATATCATTAGACTATTATTTATGGAAAATAGTCTAATGATATATATGATATTATTTATGGAAAATATAAATTTGGAAAACTTATATACTGAACATTTTTAATTTTATTTCTGTGAACCTTTTTTTTCTATGAAGGTTTTGAACTTCTTTAAATAATTTGAATTATAAGTTATTTAGTAGTTGTACTTACTAACTTCCTTGTAGACAATAATGTATTCTGTGTTACACTGGGGACAATGCACTTGAACATTAAGATTTTCTTTTAGTTTTTCATCAACCCAACGCTGAACACAAACCTGGTGAACCTAAAATAACAGAAATTTTATTATGTGTTTGAATCAATACATTACAATTTTACTGAACAAATCATAGTCACATCAAATATTAATTATTATGCATTTCTAGTTTTTACTATGTATATAAAATTTGTTTGAATATGAAAATGACAAGCAACATCCTTATTACAGTGACAGTAAAGAAACCTTGAATGAATCTCAATCATCTAACACTTGCCTACATTTCAATTAATAATTTTATTAAACAGTACTATCATTTCATTCATGAATAAAACCTATTATTTTGTTTTAATCTATTGTTAATTCAATCATATGATTTTAACTAATATATCTGAATTAAAATAATATTATTTTAAAAATATTTTCCTTTGTCTGCAATTAATAATAATAATAATAATAATAAAATAGGATTCAATATTAAATGAGTACCTATAATAGAAATGCCTAAACAATTTAAACATGACTCATCATTAAGTGAACTAAGAACTAAAAGAAGATACATTGTTTTTTAAGAGGTATGATATATTTTATTCCAATTAAATTACTATAAAAATAAATTATATAATATAAGTATCTTATGGCATATTTATATGCAGTTGCTAATATGCACTTAGAATGAAGTAATTAACCTTAATGTATATTAGTGTGGGTTTAATTATAACTCGCAGTAATTAATCTTGGTTGATGTATTTTAGCACGTATTTTAAACACAATTCAAATATTATGAATAAACGGATATAAAATATAATATCTATATAATTTGACATTCAATGCCTGTCAAAAATATTAAATCCAATTACCAATGTAAAATCCAATGTATTTACATACATTTCTTAACACCAAAGTAAGAGTTAAATTGAATAAACTTTTCAAACACATTCAGGTAATGTGAATTTTAAATACAGGTTTAACTGGAATTACTATTAAGTAATAAAATTTAGGTTAATGCACACTAATGACTTTTTATAAACAGGTTAGGTAATAATGTATTATTATTGCAGTAAAAGTTTGTTTACATTTGATGCGGTATTAAATAATATTATTTATATAAACCTAGTCAACAAAAAAAAAAAAATTGGATT